ATAGAGATGCGTCATCCAAGCTGCCATGCTGCCGGAGTATGAACCACCTACTAGGATGACTTTGGAATGTGTTAGATTGCTGGAGTGCGACTTTTGGTATCGTATGAAATGCGCTAGATCAGCTAAGGCTTGATGCAGGGATAAGTGTTTCAGATGCTCTAAGGACAGACTGTCATTTCTGCATAAGAGAGACTCTAAATGTGCGAGGTATTTAATAATATTGTATACCAACTAACTTACTCGTATGGCCAGCTTTGGCCGTAGTATCGGTGCTCCGTGTAGAACAAAATTCCCGCATTCTCCACGGCCATATCGTGGGTTAGACCCGTGCTGAGCAGACCCGGTGTTATGGTCCATTCACCGCCCAAAAATATATAAATGGGTCCTTGAGGCTTATGATATTTGGCATTTCGAAAATAACGCTATAAGAGAAGAGAGCCTTATAGTCAAAATTGAATCTTGTGATTAATATTACCATTTGCCATGTTTTATTATTCAGCTCATCAAAGTGATCAAGTCTTTGGCTCAGCCAAAGCTCCTCCACAGGAGCAGCATCGTTCTTCGTATAAGGTCCTGAACTGGGCTCCTGCAGCAGCAGTTCCCAATTACGACGGTAGGGATTGTGAGCTTCCAGCTTTGCAGAGACCAACGAGCTGAGGTCTAATGTAATTAAACAGACGAGAATGAAATAATTCATGTTGATGTAGACAGCTCTTAGCTGAAGTGTTTGCACCAGTTTGTTTGGCGTTTTATATGGCGTGCAGCGTTGTAGTTATTGCCCCTATAGTAATTGCATATGCATGCTAATTAGTTGACTATCATAATAAATGAAGTATGAATTGCCAATTTGTAGTTCAACATTTTTTGAATTGCTGATACGCAGTGGTATACTTTGCTTAGAACATTTACTAAGTACGCAACAATTACTAAGCTGCCAATCGGTTTGGAACCGAACTTATTCAAAAAGAAAGAACCTTTGTAGAATTATAGCTTTTTGCTGATATGTGCGGAGATTCGCGAAGAAAATACCTTGAAAAATTTGTCCCTAGAAAAACTCAGTTTTCAACTGATTATTTCTATAGAGCTAAATGATAAAGTAGTGCGGCGTTTATAAGATATGGCCTGTAATGCCTGCAACAGACATTCATAAAGACGGACATGGCTATATCGACTCGGCTATTAAAGCTGATCAACAATATATACACTGTAGGGGGTCAGAGCCGTCTACATGTTTTAGATCGAAATCCCAACACCTTTTATAATTGGTTCAACCAAAGCAGTTGTACAAGAAACACTAGAGCATAAACCTGAAACAGAGCTATATTTTTCCAGGTATGGCTTGCATATTTCTTAACATTTTACTCGCAGCTTAACAAGAACAGGCAATTTGACCATGCTCGTGAGCATTGATAATAATATGCCAGAAAAAAATCAACTTGGTGTTTTGAAAATAAGTAAGAACCAAATAAAAATGTTGAGTGTGAACTGCGTAATAACCAAAAACAATGAGACTTCATGATAATAGCACCTCAAGGGGAAGTTACTTTTAAATGTTAAGGCTTTCGACAAGCGGCGGCAAAAGTGGGCCCAGTAATTCTCCTTTAAAATTGGATGTCTCTAGCTCTAAAACTGTATCAGATATACATTTGTCTGATTAACCAGCTCCAGATGAGAGTGTCCAAAAAATGGTAGGTTTTATCTCCTCCACAATTTTTAGATATATTAAGAGTTTGTATTTTCAAAATACCGAAAACATATTTACTAGTTGTATACAAAACTTTCCGTTCCATAATATTAATATTTAATTTTAAAAGGCATACTTTGAGGGGACCAATAAATTAAAAAGATCTTATAAATGAAAATTTTCTTGGTTTCTGAAAGTATGCCAGTTCAAATCATTCAAAATGGATTTTGAATATAAATTTACATTTACATAATATTAAGGAGCACATATGCAATTATTTGCATCTTTAAAAATAACTGTTTGATTCTTGTATACACACAGCTTAACATTTTACACATCTATAAGAAAGTTTCCCTTTCATCTGGAAGCAAGTACAAACTCCCAGTTGAACTCTTAAAAATATTGTCATTACAAGTCTGAGGGCCCAAAAGACAAACAAGCCGAGTCAACGCTGAAGCTCTCACTCTTTGTCCTCCCTCTCTCTCTCTCTCTCTCTTTCTCTATCACGCTCTCTTTGGTTCAACTTGGTTTCACTCAGTTTTGAGTGAAACGCCAACGCTTTTCATAGCACACCCTGAATGCCCCTCGAGCTTTTTGACTGGAGCGAATCAGCGCTACCCTTGGAGCAGTGGGCGCTCATGTTAGGGACCCGGTTGGCAATCTATTGGGCATGGATTCACCTAGTTATGCCAGAGATGTTTGCGTGGGCAGCAAAAGGGCGGGGCGGGTAGCAGCCGGCGTGCTCTTCTATGAGTACTTTCTTGTTCAACTTCCCTGATACTTTCCACTCAGCGAGTTGCTCTTTGCTGCTGGCTGAAATTATAAGAAGACATTGGGTTTTATTACACGAACATGTGTTTTTTTCCTTTACCAGGAAATCCACAAAAACAAAAGGTTCACACATACATATAAGACACTCGGCACTAATTAATATTTGTTGCTTTAATTAATAGCATATTTAGTGGATGCCTATGGAAGTATATTGATGACTGGGACTAGGACTAGGATGCTAACGACTAGCGACCTTGAGAGTTGCGTTTCCTCAATTGTGGTCTTATTCTAATTAATATGCTGTGCTTATCAGCTTCCTCAATCGCTTCTTCCTGCAGATATACCCTTGCAGATGGTCTTTGGATTTAGTTAATCCATTCTATATATGTAAGTATATATGATATCTTGTCAAACTAGATATGTCTGTCAGTCTCATCAGCTTAAGCATGGCAATTGGAGAGGTTTTTAAGATGTAAGCAAGTTGCTCCTACAGACGTAGTAATAATATTATTCTAATTATATCAGTCATGGGATATTTAAAACTAATATGCTTTAAAGGATTTTAAACCTCCGGCAATTAGCTTAGTTGTATTATGAGATAATTTATCTATGAGAAATGGGGGCTTGTATAACTCTGGTGTTTATAGTCCGATTGTTAGACAATTTTCCGGTTTAAAATGCGGTATTCAACTGTGTGTATATACCAAAGCGCATGGCGTTTAAAATAAGTGTTCTTAATTTTGGATCAAGCGTGGGACAGATCCAAAAAATAAAATTTAATTAAATAATAATAATTTTCTTCATTTGACTAAATAAACCTAGCTAGTTGCAGTGATTAGATTTAATATGATATACTACAATTAAGCTGAAGCAAATGCACAATTATTAATAGCCCACGGCACAGAAAACCTTGAAGATAAATAAATAAATGCTAAATACCAAAGGTTATTGAGAAGAACTTATTGGCAACTAATCGGGAAATAGTCGGCGGAGTACCTATCAGCACGTGGGGTGTGCATTAAATTAGTTTGATTTAAAGCGAATTCGGCTGCTGACCGAGGGATGAGGTCATGGGCTTTCTTTTGCAAGGACTTTGTTGAATCGAAGTATGACGGATTAAATATCTTTTTCAGAATTTTATTTTGAGCAGCTTGCAGCTTTCTTAAGTGCAAAACTATTGATTTGTATACAACGAGCTTGTTGTGTGTGGCTAGCTTAGATAAGTGGTTAATGAACGGATATAGGAGCCGGATGGTCTCATCGATTGTATCTAGAGGCTAACTGATATGGCCGCCATAAATGAGCTCTTTATGAAAGTGGCTGCTGAGGTGTCTGACTGAGTGCTCCCACTTAATGTAAGGGTTATTAACTTGAAGCTGAGTACCTTGCAAAGAGGTTGGTTCCGCGGCAGTTAGCTTAATTTTTCATTGGAAGAAATAGTTGAATATGGAGTTTAATGAGCTCTAAAGTTCGTATTGTATTTGAGAATTGCAGCTAACAAACATTGGGGTAACATATGTATGTGATTTGTAAGGGTCCATGCCCGATCGCCAATCCTTTTGGGACCCTAGCGCATATTCAATTTTCTTGGAGCTATTGTCATCCATAGAAGTATCTGTCCGCCCAAAAGCTTTGTGTCCAAAAAGTTAAATATTCGTAATCTGCGCAACACTATGAAATTATTTGCTATCGATTTGGGTGTAACCGTTTTTTTTTTTGATACATTTTGATACATATGGATGTAAAAAAGTTTTTATTTCTAAGAAGTTTTCCGATTTGAAAAAGCGTTACAACTGTGGAAAGACAATAAATATGCCAACAATTAAGCCCTTTTCACATAATTTAGAATTTAATTGTTTAGAAAATATACATTATCTTAATACGAAACAAATTCATAGACTTTAAAAACTGAACTAAATTCAAAATAATTTGCCATTAACTTTTACAACTTCTAATTGTACGTTATTTGTGTCTTGATTTTTATCTTTGTTTTATTTTTATTATCATTTTGTTATACGTATTGTGCCTCGATTCAAATATAAAGTCAAGCGGCTGTGCCAATTACCGAGGTATACATATATGCCTATTACCTGTGATGCTCTGGGCCTTATCGTAAGTGATTCTTCGTTAGGGTACAGAATAATGCACTCCTGTTACTTCTGACTTTTGTATCGATATTTAATGTTCATTATTATAACTTTTATTAAAGTGAATTTAAATGTGTTGCCAGGGTATAAGAATGGTATAAGAATATAAGAATTCTTAATACCTATCATATTTCCATAAATACCGCAAACTTTCAACAATGTAGCAACTCGTTGTAATATATGCCCATTCGCATTGCCTTTGCACTACGCACAAGCAAAAGCAACAACTGTAGCAACAGTCGTGAGTCAAAGAGCAGGCCGCACGAGGGCACGAGCTGCTCGCGATTCGCTCAGGACGAGTATCGCGTAGGCGAATGAGTTGCGCTCAGTTCTGGCGGACATTTGAGTGGAATGCAGAGTATAAAAGCCGCACGCAATGTGCTCAACGCTTCAGTCGAGTTTGAAACTTACACTCAAGCGGAGTTGTAAATAGTTGTTCGAGTTTTTTGGCTCGTACTCAAACGTACTGTAACCGAATATTATTAAACACATACACACTTACACAGTGAAATGCATAAAAAAACAAATATTATGGAAATTTTTACATAAATTTACAAAATTGTTTTTCTTGTGGCCGCGTATTTCCAACTGACGCGTTTTTTATTTTCTTGCCTCCTTGCGTGTGGGTGTGTGTCTGTGTGCTTGTGTGTGCCTTTGTAATAAAATATACCATATAAATGTGAAGCCCTTGCTGGTAGTGACATTGTAAATGAAAACCAAATCAAGTGACAAAAATTGACAACAAAAATATCATATAGCCGAGTCTATGTGCTTTTGGTGTGCGAGTGTGCGAGTGTGTTAAGGAATTGAATTTAAGAACAGTCGCTTTGAACATTATTTACCTCAGAGTCAGGCTCAGCCTCAGTTCTAGCCTCGTTAGCCTGCTGTTTATCCATCCGCCGTCTGGCTGTGTGTGTGTGTGTGTGTGTGTCTGTTTGTTTGTGTGTGTTTGGTGTTTTTGTGCCTTGAATAACAACACGCAGTTGCTGATTGTTGCCTGCTTTTGTGCGGGCCCACTGTTGCTATGCCCCTCATCAGCGAAGGCACCTGTTAAATTATGCATTAAGAAAACGTAACAGCGGACTCAGAAAATCTCATCGCCAGCGCTACAAAATTATATGAAAAAGGCTGGAAAAATGCTGCGAAAATAATGCTAACATTTCCTCTGGTTTCAGTTGTTTTTGTTGTTGTTGTTGTGGGCATTCACTGCTTTGCTTCTTCGTATATTATTATACTTACATATTATGCAAATGAACGCTTGTTTGTGATTTCGGCAGCTGACTCTGCAGCTATTTTTATACATTTTTCAACTTTGAAGGTGCCCAGCAGTAACCCAAAGTTATGACCCTTAAAAACACCCCATGTTGGAGCATTACTTTAAGTTTGTTTGCATTTTATGCAGTACCAGTTTTGCGTAAAAACAGAAAAAGATTTAAAGACTCTATTGCATATTTAAAAATGAGCATTGCATTCTATTCTGTATGATAATTTGCTTAGAGTACAGATTTATTTCTATTCTCGCTTCTCTTTTTGCCACAGAAAATGCGCTTAAATAGTTTGATCTTATGGCTTTAACTGCACTCACTCATTTGGCCACGTTTTGCTACTTATTAAAACAATTTGCGCCGCTTTATTTGGCAACATTTTGGCCACGTCACATAACTCGCTTGGTTTCCTACTTTATGGCCCGCCTGTTTGCGCATCTCTATGCCCATGTGGCCCATCGTAATATTTAGCCATGTGGTTTTCCTTCAGTTTGGCTTGGAAAAGCAAACGGCAAACACGTCTTAAAATATTTGGCTTCTTTCGCCTCTGGTGTATTTAATTTAGTCGCAAGTTGTGTTTCCCCAGACGTTGCATGCGGCAGAAGCATCTGGTTGTTACTCGGCTTCGAATTGTTTATCAAATCGTTTGCACAAAACTTTCGAGAGAGAGTTTATTAAGGAATTCTGGCTCCGTCTTGATGTGCGTAAAGTTTGCCAGCGAATTGTCATGAGATTTTTCGGCTTTATGCTTTCGAGTGTGCCAAGAGGTTTCAGTTGTCTTCAATTTGTTTTATGCTTGTGTTTGCCCTGTAGCCCATACTCAAATAGGTAAGAGAGTGTATTATTGTACCCGGTAGAAGTAGCTATCGTCAAACTCAACATTTTTAAAGCTGCTTTGTCTATCTGCAAATCAACATTTCGATTTTGTCTTGCCGATTATAAAATCTCGAAAGACTTTCTAATTTGTTAGCTCGCTTTTATGTTTGTATAGACTTTAACTTTTTAGCCGGACACCATCGAAGAGACCATTATAAATTTCGCAAAGTCGTTCAGATAGATTTTAGGCACACATATTTTGGGTATTCTTCACTTGCCAGCTACTATCATTATTGGATGCCCGTAAGGCCTATTGTTCCCCCTACTACTACTTTCATGCAGAATATACTTTTATATTTTTCATCACAGCGCTAAGTTCTTCACAGTCAGGAATCCAATCAATCAATCATTAAGTATTTTGAGACAATTTATTTTTAGTGGTATACTTTGATTCAATTTTGAAAGACTTCTGTTTTTTCTTCTAAATGGTCAGAAGGTGTCAAAAATATGCAGAAACTGCTAAAATTCAAGGCTGGTTTTTTTTAAAGGCATAATCATAAACTGTAGAGTACTCTTAAAGTACTGGCTGTGAAAAGCAAATGAAATTTCGCTGGAATACATCACGGCACATACATTTTCATTAGCAGCTGTGTTAGACACTGTGTGCTGACCCTTCACCCTTAGGATTTGTCAACTTCAATTAGAGCTCAAAGAAAAAAGAAAGGCCGCCGCATTGCCTTGACCAGACGGACCTACGTCAACATTGGCACTAAAATTGCCACTGGTCCAAGTACAACCTAAATATGTATATGTACATAAATTTTGTTTCCAAAAAAGAGTCAACAAAAATATCTACGAGCACATAAAAAATAAGAAAGTTCTATTAAAAAAGGCAAACGGACTAATTAAAATGCTGACGCTTGCTTCTCGTTTTTGTACATTTTTTACAAGCTGTGCAAGTCTGTGGTACCGTAAAGCTGAGCCAAACTTTGTCTACTTGTTTAAATAGAGTGAGCAAAAATTGCGTTTTATTTTTGATTGCTCCGAAAAGTATGCTAAAAGTTGCCACTTCCTCGGGCTTGACTTTTGAATAAAGTTGTCTGCTTGTGTTTGCTCTTAACCAAAAAAAACAAAAAATAAGAAAAAAAGGGTTAAGCTTGGCTATAATTAAAGGTCTGGTTTTTACTTGCTTTCCTTGAACACCATTTCCTTCTGCCACGGCTGCGTATGTGTTTTGGGTGCTCCAGAGAGTCATTAAAAGGCGCTCAAGTATGGCTAGAGAATATTATATGTATATATGCCATGAGTATGTGTGAGAGTATGTATAAGAGCGTGGGCTTCTGTGTGTGTGTGTAATTTTAGCGAGTGTTCAAAAGCAAGAAAAAGGGTTGTTCAACTTTTCGTACCACCGAAATATTGTTAAGCTTTGTTAAGCTGATTAGACGACATTTCCATGTAAATTGCCTAACACTCACACAACGTTGTTTCATATCATGTCATGGCGACTATTTTATATATATACCCATATTTTTATATATAAATATATGTAGTATATGTTGCGTGCGAGTTGAAAATGTGGTGTGAAGTTCTTAATGCCCCAATTAAATGTGTGTTTGTTCAATTTATGTTTATTGGGTCGAATAATCATTGGTTTTGGTTTAATGACACAAGCTCATATTTGTTTTGTCGGTCATCGTACTTAAAAAAATATTTATTTTATTGCTTCCGCCCATCTCATCAATATCTGATTACATTTGTACATTCCCCATTTGCTATCCCATTGTCCTGCGGTCCGTTTATTCCAAACGCATTGGAATACATAATTTTACAAAATCTAGTCCTTAAATTATTAAAAGAGGAACTCGTCAAAAAAAAACTTGACATATAAATATTTAAGTGTTTAACCTCTATGCATTTGACTGAAATTAAATTTCTTTAAAATCATGAAATCGTAAGAAGCACGTTTACTTAATTATTAATACAACTATCTGTGAGCTAATGGAGAGGAAACACATTTTCCTTTCCTTTATTTTATTTCTCTTTAAAGAAGTGTATTATTCATTTCATTTTAGTTAGCTTTCCGTAACATTTTATTTGGCAGTTTGGAAATACCCGCTAAAAAATGCAAAATGCAGTCTCTATTTAAAAAAAAAATTACAAATTGCTTGAAAAATATTAAATATATAATTTTGACTTTACTAATAAGATTTTCTGTGTTCTTCTCGTTACAGTGTAGAAAAATGTAAAAAGTCGACTAAAACATAATATTCGTTTGCCTGCAAATTCTTTTCGATTTTATGTTTAAGCGAAAGCGAATCCGAAATATTTTAGAAAAGTAAACTAAATCCAACGGCTTTTAGAAAAACGGCTTGTAGAAAAAAGCGCGAACATAACTGCACGAATTAAGTACGTATATAGCGGTAAATAATAATATCGAATCAACGTAACGAAAGTAAGTTAAGGAATAAAGCTAATTTCTGGTGCGTATAACTCCATTAGAAGGCGATTAGCATAGCTTTGTGAAAACAGAGCAAAAGAACGAGCTACTGCATCAGAAGTGCCAACAAATAATTCAATCAGACCCATCTGTGAAACCAGAAAAAGAAAACGTCCAACGAGCGTCCAAGTGAGAGTGACAGCCGTGACACGAACCAAACCAAACCAAATATAACCGATACGGTGCTGGGCTCCCCTTCAGCCACTGCAAAGGTCGCGGCGGCCCAAACACAAACTAACTAGAAAACTTTGTCAAACACTCGAGTAAAGCGGCAAACGTGCGCATCTGAAAGTTTTCCCTCTATTTCGTGCACCTCTTAGACTCAGATATAGATACAGATAAAAAATACATACACTGACGCGAGTGCTTTAATTTCGGCACGTTCTCAGCAAAATAAGTACATAAAAAGGCGGCAAGAGAAACAGCTGCAGGATGTCCGCCTCCATGCCATTGACCATGGACCAGCGACGTTTGATCTGGCCAACATTTATCCTCTCGCTGCTGTTGCTCCAAACAACGGCGAGTGCCATCGATTTGAGTCGTTTGTACGGCCATATGGCAAACCCGATACAAAAACGAAGCGGTAAGTGCACATTTAAAATATTCACATTTTTATTATGTATACATATATTTTTATACATAACGATTATTATCTGTAAAGAACGCAAAAATCGTAAAAAAATCTAAAAACCTGCTAATGTCTGTATTCTATATCGCATATATATGATAAATATACGATAGTTTTAAGCGGGTTTTGCCGATCGTGCCTAGACCAAATTAACTCTCAAATTTAAACATCAATTTTCCACATATATTCCACCGGTGGAGATTTTATTTAATTTACACAGATATTTAAAAATAATTGTGAAGTCGATCCGATGAAATGTACTTCAAAAAATCCTTAAAACATGCTTTCATTTTAACAATGTAGATCTTTGAAAATTACCAAAATTACCAACAAATTTCCAAAACCGCTGAAATATATTCACACACTCATAAAGTCTTTATGTAGAGTTTTGCGAAAGGTGTGAAACACCTTTCAATTAAGTTTCCACAAAGATCTTTATGCAAAAATAACTATTTTTCCACACTTGCGGGTGGAATTTCCCAAATCCCCGTCTTAACGTGCACCTCAATTACAAAAGGTAACTACAGTGAAAATATCAGTTTCGTACCTTTTATGGATATATAGTATATATTTATATATAGATTCAACCACCAAGTCAAGAGCGCAGATGTGCAAGACTATTGTCCTGAAGACGCTTGCCGAGGTGCAGCCGAAATATATCGGAAAGAAATATATTAAAACAAAATTGTCTGAATATTTATATATATTTTATATATTCTCAAATACACAAATACATATTGAGTTATTCCTTAGAGTTAATGTAATATCATAAAAAACTAATTATGAACAAAGAGTTATGTATTTGTATGGCTTCTGCGTGAATCAGCTCTAAGGCTTCTTTATTTTACCATATAACTCATCGCTGTTTTTGAATGCACTTTGTTCTTAACCAACGAATTGTGAAATGTTTCTGCATTTGCGTGCTTAAAACTCAATTTGCAATTAAATAAACTAAGCGCACTTTCGTCCTGGCGTATGCGTTTTTCTCATTTTCCTTTTAATTACCCTCAGTAAAGTTTCGTGTTTTCATGTTGGAAATTCCCGTATATTTTTATATTTTTTGTTTATGTGCGGAACTTATTTATTATATTATTAAATTAACACCAGTCGGTCAGTCGTTAATGCCATTTGCAGCCGGGCTAGAGAAGTCGAACGGATGGTCATGGCATAATTTTGTTTGCTTTTTAAATAATTACCACCAACAAACTTATTAGCGCGATGTAAAGCGAATATTTGGCAACACATTTTTGTAACTATATCTGAACAAATAAACAAGTTCAGCTTGCCACACCTAGTTAGGCTTGAATAATGACTGGCAAGCTTTATACTGAAGGATATTTAAATAATGCAAATGTTCACCTTTAATTAACTGAATTTCAAACATGTTGGGCATCCAATTGCAGCTGTCACAACATGATTTATTCATGTTCTGATTTCGCGCAAATTTCCAAGTAATTACAACATTTTTGTGAATTTTAAGTCAAAGGTCAGACAATCCAACGCTATGACAGCAGCTGCAGTTGCGGTAAGCCATATCATATCAAACATTTCCATTTTTTTCCGCTTGTCACAAGCATTTACTATAATTGCTGTTTTGCATAAAAAATATGTATCAATGCTTTAGTCAAGAACTTCTAAGGCAGACACCTCTTACCTTCATTTTAGCATTTAACTTTTTAAAGTTTTATCTTTATTCACTTTTTTTTTTATTAACACAAATTTGGAATAAACCTAATATATAGCATATAAGTTATTTTGGGGCTGAGAGATATGATTCGGCTGGTTAAGTAATTATATTTGTAGATAATTTATTGCTATGTAGTATTAACAAGAAAGGGGGAGATAATGTTTAGCAGTTTTCTTGCTAAACCTTATTTTAATTAATGAGAATCGCGTAGTAGAGCAACATTTATAAATACCTTGTTTTCTCATTTTCAAACAAACATGCATACATACGATTGTAATTGTTGTTGCTTTTCTTCAATGGCTACATTTAAAATTGAACCCGCCTTCTCCGCCAGAGCCATAGCCACTGTCTTCGCCGATATTTAAACTGTTGCCGCCTCTTTCATAGTTGAAGCTGCCGCCTCCTCCAATTTAAAAGCCGTCTCCTCCATAATTAAAGCTGCCGCTTCCTTCAAGTTTTAAGGCACCGTCGCCTCCATAGTTCAAGCCGCTCCTTTTCCACTTTAAATGAAGCCTATGAGACTTACTTGAAATCATGAGAATCGCGTAGGAGGGAATACAAAATATATGCATATAATCATTTACATACATAAATTCATATATACATTCATGCAAACATACATTAATAAATAGTCACATACATACATAATACATGCATACAAACACATTTGCATATAAACACACATATGTAAACACATACATTTATATGCATAATCACTTATATACAGACATACATACGCACATACTAAATAATACACATGCATACACAGATGCATGCAAACATACACAGTTTGTTTGTTGTTTCTTTACGAACTTATCCCCCCGTTTCATTTGAAAACATTTTGCTGTTTTCCAAAATATGTTCACCAAAATTTGAATTTTCGAGATTCCCAATTCTACTCTTATATGCTTAAAGCCTTGCGTATTGTTGATCAACGTCTTTCCGAATATAGACGTTCTTTCGACCTTTTCTCATATTCAGAGAAAATACTGGAAAGATCAAATTTAGCAATATTTGAATATAAGAAAAAAGCTGAAATTCGTATATAAAATAATTTATATAATTTAATTAAGGCGAAAGTTGTTTCCTGCATCCAATAAACATTTTAACAGAAGGTTTATGTGAGTTCTGTGGAAGAAGTTCAAGTGGCTGCGCATTGTGTAACTGCTGAGTCAACAAACCAAGTGCAGCTTCTAAGCTTATTGAACGGGAAAGTGCTCGGGCGCCAACAGTGAAAGGACTTGCTTATCCTTTTCTTACTCCATCCCTGTCTCATGTTTTTCGCAACGGTGTCCATCACTCAGAAGCTCAGCCATACAATGTCGGTCGCTTTTGTGCTCTTGGCATTTGGCTTTGGCAGCCTTTATGACCGCCGTTGATGCTAACTAACGTGGTTTTGGTCATAATTTTTTTTTTGCCTCTGAACGCTGGCAGTTAATAATTGTGCACTGGGTCGGAGCTGTGTGCAACAAAAGCGCAGGACGTTACAAAGCACCGCCTGTCACTTAAAAAGGTTCTTTCCATTTTTATTTTTTGCGTTTCAGCCGTTGTGGCAACGATTTGAGTGGTCACTGCATAAACTGTGTGTGGGTTGTGCTGCCTGCAATTTACGCAATTTACGCAATTTAAAACAGCATATATAAAGGTTGTTAAGTGACATTTGAAGTGAAAGGTCAATCTACTCGCATTGATTTGACTGATTTGCACACCCAACGCCCATTTAACGGCCTTCATATACGTTAATTGCATTGCCCTAAAGCGAGCACACCATTAACAAACATTTGTATGATTGGTTCCTAGCTCACACGAAAATCATATAAAAAAGTCATAGTAAATCATACAAAAGGATCTTTTCTTTCTACATAACCAATATTTATAAATGTATTTTACTGATATACCTAAGCCTGAACCCCATTTCAAATTTATTTATATGAAGGTAGGGTTGCATACACCTTGGATTTGATCCGATAAGTTATCTCCGTGATCTTCACTTTATTGAAGGACATTTCAATATCATTCATTGGCGTTAATCTACAGACTTAAATTAGGTTTCTTTAATATACTTTCGGTCTCTTAGGCTGTTTGATTTTCGTCCTCGGTACGAGGTCATTCCGAAGACAATTCCCACTTCTGGCATGGTAAAATAATCTTTAGTAATTTTTGATCACTTATTTATAAAGTCGTTCAGTGAATCTGTGTGACTGAAAAACTTTTGGTGGGCCATTAGTTAGCAGCAAATAAAACTTGGTTGCGTTTCGTGCAACTTTATAGATTTCTATTTATAATTCATATAGTATTTGTAATCCGTGAAATTAAAAATTAACGTTCAAGAATCAATTCAACATGAAGGTCAAGAGCTCTTCGCAAGACTCTACGAAATATAAATGAATGTAGCCCGTAATCGTGAAAGGTGTTCTAATGGCGGCACCTGCCCAATCCTTTGACGCCTCTCACCTATGTGAAACCCATTAAAAGTTGTGCTGCACGAATTCCGTTTACGGTTTCGTTTATTTATACTTAATGAGGCACGGAGCGAAAAAGTTGGCCAACAAAAAAAAGGGGGCGTCTAAGAAAATGAATTTCGAAGCATTAGAACAAAAAGCTGATGGCAGCGAAAGTTTCACCTGGTCGAACACTGCCCTACCCACAGCCAAAAGCACACACAGCCGAAAGTTTTTAATAAAATTAGGAGCTCTGTACAAGAGGTCGCAAGAGGCGCAACAAGGAAACTAATAAAGTTTATGGTTATTATGAGGCTGGCAGGAAATTGCAACTCAACTCAGGTCCCAGTGCAAAATGTTTGCCATAATGCGCGCGTAATCACGATTTTGGTTTTGGGCGCTCGTGGCCAGCATTTGCCATCCATAGAGAATATATTATTTTGCGGCATGCAACTGCAGCTGCGCTTGGAAAAGATCACGTAAATGGGCAACGGGCCGGAATGGCAGCATGAAATGTTCTAGGCGAATGCTGCCCCCCGTCTGTCACGGAGGCAAGGCGCGTTTGCATTTTATATTTGCCTTTGCCTATGCATTTGCATGTGTGGCACGCTTCAACGAACGCCTCCGAGTATGCTACGTTTTGTTTGCTATTTGTTGTCGCTTTGGTTTTCTGACTGCACTCGAGTGGCACTGCACACAGTCAATCACATGCTCAAGTTACAATCATACAATGCCAGAATCAACATGAAATTCTAACCCTCTTTTACCACTGATGTGTGGCAACGTCAGAAGTGAATTAAAGCCTGCATAATTCAAAACGTAATTCC